AAGCTGAGTGTGCCTGCTTCCTTCACAGGCCTGAGCACAATGGTTACAGAGCTGCCACCTCCCTGTCCTGCTGTCCCTGCCCCACAACTCCATCTCCCTCCCCTGGTCCCTGATTGACCCCCCACCCTCAGCTCAGCCTGGAGGGTCCTTTTCATGGAGGAGCTCAAAGAAGGGTGGCATCCCCTTTGCCAACTTCCAGGCTGGGTTTTGGAGAAACTCCCTGGTGTTACAGATGAGGAACTGAAGGCTGAAGGAGGGCTGGGACTTCCCAGGGCCTCACAGTGAGTCAGGGGCAAAACCTGGGACTGTAGTTGGGCTCAACCTCTTCCCATGGGAATTCCTCTTTTTGTGTTTTATTTTTTTAAATTCACAAACAAAAGCAGAACAAAATGAAGAGAAACTGAAGGAAAACATATGCACACACAAAGGAAAAACTCACATGTGTGGGCCAGCACAGTTGCAGGCATTTTATACAAACATTCCCATTTAATTCCCACTACAATCCTGCAAAAAATCATTATTCTCCTTTTATGGACAAGGGAACTCAGTTTAAGAGATTTTAGGACTCAGTCAAGAACCCAAAGTTAGGCAGAGGAGAAATAGGACACCTAACTTAGGAGTGTCTGACCCCAAATCCCCGAGATGTCACCCTTCCACCCAAACCTGACTGTTTTACCCATCCGTCCGAGTTCCACAGAGCTGTAACCACAGTGCAGCGCCCAGGGGAAATGCCCTCGTCGGCGTCCCACGTAGGCGGTCAATTGCTCAGCCTTTTCTGATATGTCCCATGATGGGCAGTCACTTGCTCACGTAGCTCCTCAGTCCTTTATAGATCATGTTCCTGTTACTTCATTTATCCCGCACCACCCCCAGAGGGAAGACAGGACAATATCTGATTTACCAAAGGTCACACTCAGCAAGCACCTGGCAAAGATAGGACTAGAACTTTGGTTTCCTGCCTCCTGATGTTGAAACCATGTGACTGCTGCCTCCTGGGACTGGCTGCCCTTTCATCCCCACCCCACGTTGTAACACTCCCTGACAAGGGTGCCAGCTGACCAGATAATTCCCTGTCCCAGTGCCTCCCTTTCAAGGACTCATCTCTGGTCTTAGACCCCTGCTACCACCTGGTGGAATTGGGGTCCCTACGAATCGCCTGGCCTTATGTGCCCTTGATTCACTGCTGTGACCTTTGGTCCATGTGTTGAGATTGGGAGCTCCTGGAATGCAGGGCCTGGGCCTCATCCCAGAAACCTGCTTATAACTGAGCCCAGAATAAGGGGCTTGTTGAGAGACGTCAGATGGAATCCAAGGTCTAGTTCTGCCATAGACTCACTTTGTGTCCTAGGGAGAGCCCCTGTCCTCTTCTGGTGGCCACCAGTCTTGAAGCCTCATTCCAGTGGGCTGTGACTCTCTGTCTTGAGAGCTGACTATTGGCGGAGACCGGCATACTCCCACACCAGGCTGACCGTGCTGAGGGGATTAGTTCAGGCAGGAGCAAAGGCTCTTCTGTGTGTGGGGGGGAATGGGGGGGGAGGTGACTAGGCTAGAAAGGAGGTGAACGGGAATAGGGTCAACAGACTGCATTGTTTGCAGCGGCATCCGCAGCTTGGCTCCGTGGGGTACAGCCAGGGAATAGCTGTGCCAATGTGAGTGGGGGATAATGACAGAGCAGGAAAGGAAGTAGGCTATGAGCAAGGCTATGAACCCCAGCTGCAGGAAGGGTAGGGTGGGTGCCTTGGTGCAATATGGGCAGATGGGATGGTGGCCACCTTTTCTGGAGAGAGATTTGCATGGAGTGCATGTGGGTACCCTCTGGACTGGGGTGGAGGGCGGTTCATGTTCTAGTTATGTTCAAAGGCTGCTGCACACTGGTTTCTCTTGGGAGCCCTGTGGAATACTGGAATAGGTAGGTTATTATCCAATGCTCGCTCACATACCTCCTCCAGGCCAGCTTTCAATCCTGGCTATGACTTAAACTTAGAATCACATACCTTCTGGGAGACGGCATGGCAGTACATGTGCTGGAGGGAGAGCACAGCTTCAGAGCCAGAGGGAGCCAGGGGCCACCCCTGGCTCTTCTGTCCTAGCTATGTGACCTTGGGCAGGTCATTTCACTCCTGAGCCTCAGTCTGTCAAATCTGTGAAATGGGTCATAAATATCATGAGGGGTTGTTGTCAGGGTTAGAAAAAATGTAAATGACATGCCTAGTTCAATTCCTGGAACATGGAAGAGGCAACATAAATGGTAGCTGTTACTAATTCCTTCCCAGGCTAAGAATCCCGTCTGTGGCCTCCTTAAGGAAGGGAGTCAGCACCTCTTTGCACAGCCCCAGGGATAGGGAGCTCATCTCCTCTAGGGGCAGCTTTGCCTGGAAAACCTCCTTCCCTAGATGCAGCTGAGATCAGTCCCAGTTCTGTCTCTGGGGCCACAGCGTATGCTGCTCTGTGGCCATGGGACAGCTCTGTGGCATCTCCCCCAAAGAATTTTAAGAGATCTTACTGGTAACACGGTGCTTGCCCAAGTTTCAGGAGCAAGGCTCTGGAAGTGCCTAGCCTGGTTCAAAGGGGTATATTTTAATTGATTAACTTATTGATTGACTTGAGAGAGGGAGACAGAGACAGACAGACATCGATTTGCTGTTCCACTTATTTATACATTCATTGGTTGATTCTTGTATGTGCTCTAAGGATGGAGCCCACAACCTTGGCGTATCAGGATGATGCTCTAACCACCTGAGCTACCCGGCCAAGGCAAAGGGGTATATTTTAATCAGGCTTGCACAAAGCACAGAACCCCTGTCTCCCTCCCTGTGAGTTTAGAACATATGGATTTTACCCTCCCAAGTCTGCTTTTTTTCCTGGGTGAACTCTCCCAATTCATTTGAAATTCTCCACAGAAGCAGATGAGAGAACTGGGCTCTGGTCCCAAATCTATCACATCAGGGAAAGTCATTTATTTTCACTGAGTCTCCAGTTCCCCATTTGTAAAATGAAAAAAAATAATACTATCTCATAGGATTATAGTGAAGACTAGCTTGAAAAGGTAACATGAAAATATGGGGTTTGGAAAAGGCAATGTATTTTTTTAAATCACATTTTTGGAAAAAACAGTTAGTAGGTAAGCCCACCTTGTGTTTTCCCTTAGCTTTTTATAACATCTCCAAAGGAAATTACTCCAGAAAGTCAATGCCATTCCTGGTTTCGGAATAATGAAAAATTAGGTGGAGGATGCCCTCCTAAATTCATAAACTGAAGCCCCAAGGTTTGACTTAATCTGTGAAGAGCCTACTAAGTTCCAGGCTCATTCACTTACCTTATTCTGCAGTTGGGACCAAGGCCCAGAGAAGGCCTGCCAGATCAGTGGTAGAGGCTGGATCCCAAGTCTCCCAACATCTAGCACCTTTATACCCTGAGTGCTTACTGCCAGAGGAGGGAGGTGAAGGGAGGATAGTCTCTGGGCCAGACTAGATACACCCAGGACTAAGATTCAGCAAATCTTTGTGAACCACCTTAGGAGTAAGGACCCCAAGGAAAGCTGGTACCCCTACCCCTAGATGATCTGGACAGAGCAGGAAGGTTGGGGTGTGGGGGGGGTCTGCCTGGCTCAGCATCCACATTGGCAGATGAAGAAGCCTGAGTTCACCCAGCCAGTTAGGAGCAGGCAGAGTAGACTGGCACCAGGTCCTGACTCCCAGACAAGGTCTTCCTTTGCCTTTGTTGCTTTCTCTACTTTTCCTCATGGTTATCATCTGCATCTGTTTCTTTATAACCCAAAGAACCCTTCGTGATGCAGAGATTCTAGTCCTACTGTGTGACCTTTAGAAAGTCTTCAGTCCTCTATGGGCCACAGCCTCCCCGGATCTGTGAAATGGGGGCCCTGGCCTTAAGAACCTCACTGTTCCCTTCCAGCACAGAGTTCATGCTCTCTAGCTTGAATGCCCTGTAGCAGAGAGCCGTTTTTTTTTTTTCTTTGCAGGGCATCTAGACCCCTGGCCCCAGGAACAGGCACCTGCGGCCCGGTGCGAAAGGGCTAGTTCTTGCTCGCTCCCTTCGTGCCTACCCGCCCAGCCCATTCGCTCGGCAGAGAGGAGTGCTGGAGGACCCAGAAGCAGCAGAAACAGCTCTCCTACTGTCACAGTCATACTGCCCCCTCCTCACTGTAAAAACTTCACTACAAGCGTCCACGCCTCGCGGTCCCGCACAAACACTGCAGCTGCAAAAGCCAGCGGGAGGCGGGGGTGGCTTGTGCGCGTGCGTCGGCGCGGGGCCCTCGGTCGCCCACGTGCGCGCCCCCGATCGAAGGTGCGCGCGGCGGCGGGCTGGCGGG